CGGGTTCGAGGATATTTTTCGGGGATTTGTTCGGGTCGGGTTCGGGGCAAGGTATCCCCGCCCCGACCCATCCCGATTATATATATATATAATATTTTATATATTTTATATTAATTATATATATATATATATATATATATATAATATTTTATATTTTTTATATTAATTATATATAAAATATTTTCGGGTTCGGGTTCGGGTTCGGGTATAATATTTCGGGTCGGGTTCGGGGACGGGGCAAAAAAATCCCCGACGGGACGCTCCGATAAAAAACCCGTCGGGGATCGGGTCGGGGATTCATTTTGGGTTCGGGGATGGGGCGAGCAAAACCCACCCCGAACCCGACCCGTTGCCATTCCTACTCCCGACTATTAAAACTTAGAAAATTATCATATGATTATTCATATGTTCTAAACTATTTTTTTATTAAAATTGATTGTTCGAATTTGATGTAAACATACTGATATAGCAATCCACGGTGGTTGATAACATGATGTATGACATGACAGATGAGTTAAATTGGTAACTCAAATGTGACAGATGAACTGCCATGTCAGTATCGTAGACCATCATATCAACACCGTAATGGTCAACGATGAAAAAATATTGATCAAAGGGCATATTGGTTTGTTTTATGAGTTGGAGTACTACATTTGAGAAAAAAAATAATATGAGGACCATATTAATTTTTTCAAAAGTATAAGGACTTCTTATGTTTTTTTTAGTAATTTTCAATGACAAGAGTGATAAATTGAAGTACCAACAAAACCATATATTTTGAAGATTGCTTTCCACCAAGTAAACACTGCCGATTTTGGGAATGCATCAGCCATCAGCCACTGCCAAATCAACCATAGAAACATAACGTGCACACATTCTTCATTGTTGTTTCCATTCGTTTGATTTGAGCATCTAATGCTTAAATTTGTATTTACTTAATTTAATGGAGTTATTAATGGCAATTATATTCCTACCAATGCATTCCTTTCCCTTGCATGATAAGTACAGAGACTCTCATCGTCTCTTGACTCTTCCTGCCTGCCCCTTATTCACAGGGATAGGGGCTCTAACAAATTCAATTCCTTTACTTGAAAATATCCTTCCTTTCTTTGTTTTTCAACATCTTTTGGACCCCCTCCCCCAGCTGCAGTTAGGCAAGTTTCTTTCTTTATTTTATTATTAATTCATCTATCGATTCTGCATTTTTCTTTATTTTTGCAAAATTGTGGGTTTCTATTTCCACCATTTTTATATCTGGGGAACTTGGTATTCTTAAGGATCTTGTTTCATGTCTGGGTCTTCTATTCTTCACATTTAGGGATTTAAATTAAGGGTGTGGTCATGTTTTCGGATGCCTATATCGCAATTGCAGCAATATCGGGTGCAATTGTGGTCATTGCGGATTTATAAAGGCCGCCATTCCGATAGCATACCGCCATTTAAATCCCTGTTCACATTATCAATTAGTAATTGTTTTTGTTGTTGGGATTTTTTGCATTGGGAATTTGATGACATGTTGAAATGATCATCAGGTTGATTGTTTCATACGAGGATGTAATGTTTCTTTATGATCATAAAATCTTCATTTTTAGCCTCTAAATTATTGGAAAGATATTGTTCTTTTTGGTAGTTTATTTCTGATTGTTTTCATTACCAAAGCCTCAAATGACTCTTATCATGTCATGTTTTGACATTGCTCCTAATTTGAACCTTATATGGCTCAGGTGTGTTTCCTAACATACTGCAGGGCCGGCTTCGAGGGCCGGTTTTTCTGGATTCCTGGCAGGGGGAATTTTGTTTAATTAATAAGTTTTTCATCAATGCTGATAAATTTCTGAGGAAATGAAAGCAATGCAATTCGATTTCAAACACATGTTCCTCTTTTTGTTATTCGTTGTGGTGTTCCTGGAATGCATTATAGAGATGATCTAAGTGAAATTTTGCAAACGGTAAGAGTTCCACACAGAATTCCAGGGAACTATGTTGTAGGTGGCACTAGTACAGAGGGTCATAAGTTTTGAGGACATTGACAATGAAATGAGTGACTGGAAGAGGGTTTACGATAGGGTTTCCGTGTCCACGATTGTATTGTTTACATTAGCAATGGCTGCAGCAAGTGGTTTAGGTGCACTTCCGTTTTTCTTTGTGGAGCTCGATCCTGAGTGGGCTGGCATATGCAACGGAATGGCTGCCGGTGTCATGTTGGCTGCAAGTTTTGATCTTATAAGGGAAGGGCAAGAACATAGTGCTGGATCCTGGGTTGTGGTTGGGATTTTGGCAGGTGGCTTTTTTATTTTGCTGTGTAAGGAGGTGATGTTTTGACTCGTATCAGTTTTTATGTATGATCGACAGTCATTATAGAATTAGGATATTACCTGGGCTCTCATAAAGAGCCGTTGTTGGCTCTGCCGAGAGTTTAAGCCTTTTGATGTTGCCTGCTGTACAAAATGCTCACTTTTAACTTGTAATCTTCTGGCGTCTTTGCTCTCGTACGGAATTTTAGCGTCTATATTTTTTCGCATGTTTTTGTGTTTCAGTTTCTTGAACACTATGGGGAAGTAAGCATCTCGACATAAAAGGAGCAGATGCAACTACAGCTGTTCTTGTCATTGGAATTATGACCCTCCATTCATTTGGGGACGGCTCTGGTGTCAGAGTTTCCTTTGCCGGCTCAAAATGTTATATACTCAAGGCCTTTTGGTGACTATGGCCATAGCGGTACATAATATACCAGAGGGATTGGCCGTGAGCATGGTGCTTGCATTGAGGGGTGTTTCTCCGCAGAATGCTATGCTATGGAGAGTAATTCCATCCTTACTGCAGGTGTCTATCGTGTAATGCTGTTTGTCTGGCTTTGAGCATATCTGTCTGTATCAAAGGAAAGAATTCTAAGCTAGAAAAGTAAAATAGTATATGACTGTATCTTGGTGTCATCTGTTGAAATTGACAAAAGAAGTGAAAATCATATATTAATAAGGTTCAGATTATTGGTCCTGAAATCAATCACAAACTTCTGTTCTTATTCAAGTAATTTATATGCAATCCCATTCTTATTAATTGCTTGTTTATTCCCTTAACATATTTTTTTAAATTTCTTGGCAGCCCATTGTAGCAGCTCCTTCTTTCATATGTGTTGACGCATTTAATAAAGTCCTGCCCTTTTGTACTGGTTTCGCTGCCGGATGTATGATCTGGATGGTGGTTGCCGAGGTTTTCACTGATGCAATTAAGGTGTGTGCTTATTGCAGTTAAAATACTTTTCGAAGCTTCAAGAATAATGATTTTCCAATTGCAGTATTCTACAAGAACATCTTGATTCAAATTTATGATGTCTAGAGTGGTTCATAATTTAAAGAACTTACCAAGCTATGCTAACTACTCCTTCCATCTGCTTCGGCTGCTCTTTCGTGCAAATCATAAAATGCTAGATAAAAACTTTTATTCGAACATCAAAATGAAAATTGGAAGAGATAAATCTTGATTGACCATCACCATTGTTTATGTTATTTTATTCTTTTGAGATTTCTTCTCTGTTCTAGAGACATGATATCTTCCCTCTCCCCTTTCGATAGGAAGCTTCGCCAACTCATGTGGCATCGGCAGCTACACTTTCGGTAGCATTCATGGAAGCACTAAGCGTTTTGTTTCAGAACTTTAGTCGTGATTACAGGTGAGTTAACCGAACCATGGTTTTTCGAGAAGAATGTACGACTATTCTTTATCCTAATGTTGATGTAGTTATATAACCTTTTTGTTTATTTCAAATGTCCAGTTCCGAGGATGCTTCTGGCTTCTTTGTTTCATTACTTTTCGGTGTCGGACCTTTACTTGGTGGCCTTGCTCTGGTTTCATTTGCTCTTGCTTTCCGACTTAAGCATGCCCTTCTCATGGGAGATGCATCCGGCGTTGCCTTTATCCTCGGTGCTTGGCGACCACTACAACTACTTGTCTCGTTGAAGATGGGATTCTTCCCGCTTACGTTACTGCTCACCCTAGGCGTTGTAGTTGTCCATTTCTCAAGCTCTAGTATTTTGAAGATTCTGTGTACCAAAAGAACTTCAAATAACCTACCAGCAGTGGCAGGATCTGCATTTTTAGCATGTGGAGCAGTGGCTTTCCATGCACTGGCTGAGGGGCTTGCGCTAGGAGTTGCAGCACCGAAAGCTTATGGACTAGGCCGGCACATGGTTCTTCCGGTCTCCCTTCACGGGGTTCCTAGTGGTGTGCCAGTAGCCAGCTGCGTATTCGGAGCTACGGACAGTTGGCATGGCTCTCTTGTAGCGGCTCCTCTTATAGGGTTTGTAGGCCCGATTTCTGCAATAGGATCGATATTGGCGGGAATAGACTACAACGTTACAAATAAAGGCAACCTTTGGAACAGAACAAGCTCATAACCGCTACATAAGAGGAATGTGAGCGCTGCTTTTGTTTTGTAACGGCAGGCTATATAAACTTGTATGCTTTTAGGCACAGGCACCAACTTGCATGATTATTTGCACTTTGCAATTTCTGGCCTAAGTAACATGTATAAATTGTAAATTATTTGAGTTTAATTTGATTAAAGTTTAATTAATATTTGATTTAAATAGATTCAATTTAAATTGTAAATGAATTTAAATTAACTATTTGATATTTGACTTCAAAAAATTCACAAAAAATTCAAAAAATAATATATTAATAATTTATTTTTTAAAATTAAATTATTAAAAATATCAATATATATATATATATTTAAATTATAATGTAAAAAATTTATGCACTTAAATCTAGGATCAAATTCAGAGTACAAATTTAAACCAAGTTTTCAATTGAATTAAATTTAAGAAGAATTCAAATTTAAGATTTTTTTTAAAATTTGATTCGAATTTAAATTTTTATTTAAATTTAAATTAAATTTAACGATTTTAAACTCGTAAATTAATCAAACTCAATTTTAAACATTTCAAAACTCAAGAATACTCAAACTGAGCTCCTACCCTAATTGATTAACCTAACTTGCGTGAGGTAAAAACAACTTTTGATCGAAAACAAGTTGATTTACATTCCAGGCGATCTTATTACAAGACAACAACAATAAAAACCCAAACATAAAAAATCACTTTGAAGTCGACTGATTACATTTCTCCAAATTGTCACCACCAACCCCCACCCAACTTCTCCTTCTCGGAGGCAACAGATCCGATCTCCGCCATCGCCGGCTTCTCCGCCACACTCTGCGACCCCGTCATCCTCGCCAATATCACAAACGACATCCCTCCGATCACGTTATTCAAGCATCTCAAAACCACCACGGAAGACTTGAACACCACGGGCGGAACTCCCTTTTCCAATAGAAACTCGATCCCATTCAAGGTTTGATACCTCAAATTGCTGCTGGTGCCCATGTGAGCCGCCCAGGTAACGGCGTTCAACAACGTCGGCGGAGGTTTGTTGGGCGTTTCAAAAGTGGGATCTATTTTCTTCCTCAGCTTGATCAGCCCGTTTGAGATGGCGGTCCCGACGAGGCCTGCACCGAATCCAACGGCAGCAAACACCGCCCCTTTGAACACCGCCGTCCCTAAACGGCTCATCAAGGTATAACCGCCGGGTTCGAACATGTGACTCTGCGGACAATTTGCGAAGATGGAAGGAAGACTCGATGATGAAGCAGAGGCTTTGGGCGCTAAGAGATACATGATGGTGAAATTCATGATGGAACCCACGACGAGCGTCGAGAAAACGAAGTCGAGCTCGTTGAGACCGAAATTAGGCCGTGAAGCCATGTCGCCGACGACACAAGCGGTGACGCCCACCAACTCTTCCATTAACACCTTGAACGGGAACTGCGGATCCGCCGCGACCCTGTCTCTCCATCCAGTTAGTAAAAGACCCAGAAAGCCAAAAACATCCGACGATCGATCCTTGGAATCGGAATCATCGCCATCTCCTCTACCACCTCCACCGCCTCCGGTGCGACCAAAACCGTCGTTCCCATCGCCTCCTCCGATGGCGCATAAAACGTGGAGTTTGGAGAAAGAAAGCTTGGTGTGGTTAGAAGGAATGGGTTGATTTAAAGGGAATGAAAGAACGTTGGGTGAAGGTGGATTGAGACGGCAGGTGTGGTTAGGAGATGATGGGGCGGTGAGCACGGAGAAACGATGCGGAGATAGGGCAGCCATCTGATGCATGGATGAATCCAATAATCTGATCAAACTGGAGTCCAAGGAAGGTAATATGACAAATATTTGCAGATCAGCTGCGAAAAGGGAAAGGTTTGGAGGAAAGTGATGAAATGAGAATTTATACAGAGAGAGACGTAGAGTGTGGGCATAGACCTCTTAAGCCTATAAACAAACAAAACAACGAATGAAACCCTAAAGAGTCTAATCTGTTTTTGTTTTCCTATGGGGACAACCATAACTATGTTCCTTAGGGTTCTTTATTTATTTAAAATGACTTTGGATCGATCAGATCAAATTTTTTTAAAGGGGTGTTATCGAGTTGGGTCAAGTTTGAATGGAAGGGGAAATTTTTTTGTTTCGACCCAACCTTGAATAATAGTGTAATTTCTTTAAATAAATTTAAAGGTAATTGTTATAATATCATTCTATCTATTATTTTTTTAAATTAAGTCATTTTGTATAGCGTGTCAGATCGTATTAGATTGAATTTATAATCTAAAAATTTGGTATATGTCGAAATCGATTGGAGGACATATATTTTTCGAATTAGGTTGACCAAAAATCCAATCCAACCCATCCCATTGCCATCCTTAATGTTCCTTTTTTACCTCCTTTAATTATAACGATTTATCATTATTCTAATTATTTATTGGGTATGATCATTTTAGTTTAAATTTTGTATACTTTTCTCATTGAATTAAAAAAATAATATCTAATCACTTTTGTTTTTATTTTATTAAAATGTGGTCATGTTCATTTATATTTAATTAAGACGTAATTACTAGCCTTATTAAATTTTAAATGTTTAATCACTGAAACTTTGATTACTATTAGTGAGAAAAAGTGAGGAAATTAAATCAAAGTGACAATATCTTAATTAAATAAAAAAAGTGATTCAAATATTATATTTTTTAAATTTAATGAGGAAAAATATATAAAATTAAAACAAAAGTGATCAATCATAAAGTTTACCCATATTTATTTTAGGCATGAAACTAACGACATTAGTGATTAAGGAATTTATTATTTTAGGCATGAAAAAAAAGGAAACAAAGATAACAACTAACCAATCAAATATACTTGGTCCAAAATATCCTTTTTTTAAAATTTTGTTATTTTCAACTTAATCAATATATTAAATAAAGCAATACGAAAGTTAGAGTCCATGAAATTATTTCCAGCTTAATCAATGTATTGGAATGACTTAAGGATGACTCATCTACTACATGGGCGAAAATAAAAAATATTGTATTAAGTATACGTGAGAAAGATAAAAATGGTACCAATTGAACATATAGGTGTTCAAAAAGTGTTATTCTTTTGTGTGACAAAGGTAGGAAAAACTTAGCAGTTATCGGTGATCCTTCTACAAGCCTTTTGTCCACTTGAAAAGATTTTAGAATATAATCAGAAGGTTGTGCATTCTGAGAGCCTTACTCTCGTTGCGTGGCCATAGTGAGCTAGAGCATCAACTGTGCCATTAGCTTCCTGGGAAATGAGAGCGAACTCGACCAACCAGCTTTGATCCAGGAACTTCAGGATCCTCCTTATGATTGTCGGTTTGTTACTTTGACTAGGTATGGTAACCAGTTTGATTGCATCAGCATTGTCCATCTCCACCACAACGCGTCGAGCGCCATAATTCCAAGCTAACTGGAGGTCGTCCAACAGTCCTTAAAGTTCAACTATATCCCACAATCCAATCTCCATTATGGTTTTGGATGAGACTACCACTCACCCCCTCCATGGAGTTTTGTTTCAACGAGCCATCAGTATTCAATTTAAGCGTTTCTGCATCCGACGGTTTCCACACTTGGTTTTTAATTCTCCCACTTTAAGTATGAAGGCTACTCCTCGATCTGGAAACAATGGACTCTGCCCAGGCATGAGCACCATGGATCACTGCTTCCGAAGATCCACTCACGCCATTGAGGGTAAGTTCGCAACATTGCTTTCAGATTTTCCAGATTATACTACCAAACATATGTTTCCATTTGTAAGTCCCACCGTCAATTCCTGCATCATTGTTCAAGTTATAAATCAACCAATCACAAATGGAAAGGGAAAAGAAACTTCCGGTTCTTTGATTCGATAGCAGATGCGTCCAAATGGTTTTAACGGTAATGCAGTCCCTAAGGATATGAAGGACTCTCTCTTCACTGCCACCACAAGCCAGGCAGCTAGGATCCGACGAGATGCCCCACCTGGTTCTCTCTAAGTTGGTTATGAACTTGTTCCTCAAGACGAGCCAAATAAAAGTCCTAATCCTTTATGGCCCACTGATATTCCAGGCCAACTGCCACACATTATCATCAGAACCGGTCCTGGGTAGTTTTTGGCCCCTATTTATGTTCTTTATTTTTTGGCCCGGGACGAAATAAAAGAAATGAATCTTTATTTATTTTTTTATTTAGCGTCAAGTAAGTGCTGTTTGTCTGAATCAATTGTTTAACAGAATATTGCTACTACAAAATATAGTTTTAAATTAATAGTCACTATGGAAAATATTATGGGCCCTGGGCGGGCGCCCCTCCTGCCCCGGCCCAGGGCTGACCCTGGTTATCATGCTAGTCCCACTCTTCGCCATGAAGCACGTGATAGGTCTTCTTAACTGAGCAAATTCCGGAGGTCTTCCAGAGTCAGACATGTTGATCAGTTTCTGTACCACTGATGGGAGAGGGATAACAATAAGGGATTTAAATAGCGTTCGCAACAGCGTTTTCGGTTGTGTCGCTTTTATCGCGGTTGCGAATATAACGGATGTCATTACGGTCACCGCGGGTGTCGCGATCGTAAATTTTTTTAAAATTCGCATGACTTATCCTAAACAATAATAATTATAATTATAATTTTAAAGAGTCATTTTCAACGATTTTTAGAATGTTTTCTAAACAAAAATAATATATATATATAATATAGTTTAATCAAATATTAAACTCAGTGATAGAATAAGATAATTAATTAATAATAACATTGTGAATACATTATTATTTAAAAGAAATAAGACTATCAACATAGGAAAAACTCTAAAAAATAAAATAGATAAAAATAAATTACTTGTTATTATTTACTTACCAAAATCAACATATTATAACTAAAAACTTATAAAATTAAAAATAACCCATTATTTATTTTAAAAAAACGTATAACATAAGTAAAAAAAAGTATCAAATTACAAAATTAATTAATTTATTAGGTCTGTTTTGGTTCAAATCCAAAACATTAAAAAGTAAAAAATTAATTAACTTATTGTTGGGTTTGTTTTGGTCCATACCTAAGATATTAAAAGTAAAAAAATAATTATTTAAAACATAAAATATAACTAATAAATTATTAAATCTCTTCTTCGTCTTCAGTATCGTGCATGAGTGAGAGGAGAGGCAGAAACACAGAGCAAATATTGTGAAAAATAGAGGGTTATTTTGGTTAAAATTCGTCCCTTTTCTTCTTTATTTTTCATGTTGTTAAATTTTCTTTGCTTGCTAGCTTGATTCTTACCAAAAATACCCAAAAAACCTTATTTTGCTGCTGTATGTTACACCAAAAGAAAAGTAAGAAGAAAGATAAAATAACCAGGTACTTATCCTCAAAGGGAGACTTTTTCCTGAATTTGTTTTATTGAGTTTGGACTATGAAATTTGAGAGAAAATTTGAATTTTTATTTTGAGTTTGATGTTGACTTGATGTAATGAAAAATAACGGGAATAACAGGTCGTTATCTTAAGTTGCGGCCGCTATCAGCCGTTATTGGTGTGAATCCAACGTCACATCATTTTTTGAATAATATCGGTTTCAGAAGACGGCGCTACCGCGAAATAATGACTGCAATAGCGCTTTCGTTCTGCTATTTAAAACCCTGATAACAATGATCTCCCGGATAATGCCCTCATCAAGGGTAGGAATCAATTGATCTAAATTCTGGTGACCTTCCATGTTGACATACTCACTTACTTTAGTGCCTGGATCAATAATGAGATGCCAATCCAAAAATTGGTATTTTTTCTGTTACCTGAAGATCAACAAACATTATTGTGAACAAAACACCACACTTTGGAGAAGGATCACCACATAAAGGAGCAGCTTCTCGAGTTGAGATGGGTCAGAAACTGAGAATTGATTTTGTATTTGGAGCGGCAAACCTTGACCCAAAGGGCTTCGGGATGGGTCAGAAGATTACAACCAAGCTTTATCAGAAATTCTGGGTTTGAAGAGGACTTAACCCCAAACCTGCATGGGTTGTCTACAGGTCTTCCATCTGACAAGCGATAACTTCAGATGATCCTCAGTTCCGCCCCAAATAAAGTGACGACTAATCTTCTCAATTTTCTCACAAATTCATTTGGGGATGGGCACCGTTTGCAAAAAATAATTCGGGATAGTCATCAGAATGGACTTGGCCAGGGTAATACACCCCAGCAATGAAAACTTACAGGCCATCAAATTATTCAACTTAGCATGAACTTTATCCACAATGATTTGGAACATACATGCGACTGTGAAAGAGAGGCATACCCAGATAATTCCCTAAATTAAAGGAACGTTGGAATCCCAACAAAGAGCAGATATTATTAGCAAGAACATTCAGAGTATTATTGGAAAAGAAAACTTTAGTCTTACTAGAGTTGACTTTATGACCCAAAAATCTGCTAAATTGGTTAAGAATAGCACGGGTAGTGGTTGTTTGATTGCTAGCCCCCTTACAGAACAAGAGGAAATCGACAGCAAAGAATGAGTGAGACAACTTAGGGCCACCTTTAGACAGAAACATGGGTTCCCGAAGGTCCAAGTTAAGGGCATATTGAATACTTTGGCAGGCGTTCCGTGAAAAGAACGAAAAGATAGGGGGAAAGCGGACACCCCTGTCTAATGCATCTCATGGGTTTAAACTCGGAGAAAGAAAGCCATTCCAGAGGATCTGAAAGCTGGAAGTAGTAATGGCATGCATTATGAGGCGATGCAGCCGAAGTGGGAATCCTATATCCTCGAGGGAGTCAGAGAAAAAAATCCTAAGCTACCCGATCATACACTCTCTCTTAGTCCACTTTGATCGTCATCTAGTGAGTTTTCCCTTTCTTTTTCCTCATCGAATGAATGACTTCTTGAGCCACTATAAGGATTTCATTTATGCTTTGGCCCGCAATAAAGCTCA